CCAGCGGTCACACAGCCCAGTGGTGGTTGAGGTGGGGACATGGACCATACTAGATGATGTGAGCGCTTATCTAAGTGAGAAGCAGAAGCCTCTGGGAGGATGAGGAGGGGGCCCTGGGGAGCTCCAGAATGCAACAAAGCATGGGCTGGTCACCTTTAGGTGGGTTCTGCTGGACTCCCACGCTGTGCACCTCAAGGGCACGGGAATGGTCTGGCCAACTGTCTGGTTCCCTAACCAGCCTGGGGGCCCCTCAGGACCAGGTCCTTTGGTCTCCCCACCCCATCACATAGCAGAGTTCCTGCATCTGTGCCACATTTGTCTATTGAGCACTTGCTATGTGCCAGGCTCAGCAGGGCAGTGAGGTGGGCAGGTGGATGGAGGAAGGAAAGGGTCAGTCCTGATGCTGTCCCCTGGCAGGGCACCTCTCTTTTCTTGGGAACCTTCCCAGGACAGCCTGACCTTAAGCAACCAGCAGTGGAGTGACCGCTAACACTTCAGCCCAGGAGTCTCTGAGAGTGACCTCATGTCTGGAGTGAGCTTGGAGATGGCGGCTAAGACAGGGTCACGGTTTCACTGACGGGGCCTCCTAGAGCACGCTGGCAGGAGGACGTGCTCTCTGCTAGCCAGGGCGGAGTCTGCATTTGGCACCTCCTGATTTCCATGTGGGGAGGTGGCGGAGGTGCTTATTTATAGGTCTCTGTCAGCGTGGAGGCACTCAGGCCTCCACACCTGCCCTGGGGAGATGGGAGACTCTTTCCTGGGGCTTTGCTTGTCCAGTAGATGCCTGTGTCCTCTGGAGGAGAGAGGGCAGCCCTGGCACGTGGAAGGCTCACGCCAATGCCGAGCCTTCCACGGCACTGACCGCCCCTGTGCCTGGGGTCGCCTAAGTCGCTGGTCATCACAGCATGTTTTCTGATGGAGATCTACGTGAAATGTGCTCTACTCGCTCATGTATTCAGCAGGCTCTTCCTCAGCCTGTTAGGAGTCAGCCCTGTGCTGGCTGCTGGGCCCAAAGGCTGTTGGAAAGTCACAGGCTCAGTCTCAAAAGTCCCCTTTATCACTTCAGGAGACTGACACACACAGGAAGGTGCCAGGGATTCCCCAAGGAGTGTAGGGAAAAGGCCACATAGCCCAGGGAAGGCTTCCTGGAGGAGGAAGCGTTCAGTTGCACGTCTGCAGCTCATATTTACTGAACAAACATACACATCTTCTCCAACTGTTCCTCCCAACAGCTCTATGAGGTTGGAATTCCTTCCCCCTTCTATAGAGGAGGACACAGGCACAGAGAGGTGGAGCTTATCCACGGTCACATGGGGACTCTGTGCTCTGGCTCTCCTATTGCTTTGCCACACTGCCTCCCTCCTTGAAGCTCCACTGTGTCCCACAGTTGGTGGAGCAGACAGACATGCAAAGAGATGAGTGCCCTGGCGTTGGAGCAGTAACTGCTGTAGAGAGCTCCCCTGTAAGCTGCAAGACTCAGTGGAGTGAGGGTGGGTGTGAGACATGCACAGTGCATTGGGAACATTCATACAGGCCAGGGATGGGACAGTTAGTGCCCTGGGAGCATGGAGGACAAGAGAAGACCTTTAAGTTGGCCTTGAGTCACAAATAGCAGTTTGCCAGATGAGGGAGTGGGTGAGGGGCGACTATCTGATGGACAGGACATCGTGTGCAAAGGATCAGTCTTTCAAAGGACGAATGGTGGACATAAGAAACCTTCAGGACCCAGAGCCATAAGTCACAAGTGTCAGTGACATGTGGTGGCAAACTCTGGGCAAGATGGGGGCTCTCCACCCTGCACTGAATGGCCCAGGCAGCTGGACCCTGTGACATGGGGCTCCTTTCTCATGGACTTTCTGCCACCTGCCCCCAAACACAGTGAGGCCAAGCTGCGGATCATCCTCTTACCAGCAGCAACCACTGTGTCCTCTCGTTGCTTCCTAGTTCTGGGCTACCCTGGTCTGGGCACCACATTTACATCGTGTGTAAGTAAGAGGAAGCACCTGCTGGGTGCCTGGGACGCATGGATGCTGAGGTCTTCAGACTGGCTCCTGGAGGACCTTTTGCTCCCTCTGTAACTCTGCACTGGGCTTTGGTGAATGGCTCTCATTGCCTTCCAGATGTCTGTTCTGCCCCTCACTGTGTCTCTGGAACTAAGTTGGTCCCTGGCACAATCTTTGCTCAGTAAATTCTTGGTGAATGAAATGTTGCTGACTAATCTGGAAAGAACACCAGTCCAGACATCATGAGGCTTGGGTGTCAGCCCTGGTCTGGCTACTTCTTGGCATGTGTCCTTCTTCAAGCTTCAGTTCCTCATCTATAAAATAGGAGTCAAGCCGGGTGCAGTGGCTCATGCCTATAATCCCAAAACTTTAGCGGACTGAAGCGGGAAGATTGCTTGAGCCAGGAGTTCAAGACAAGCCTGGGCAATATAGGGAGACCCTGTCTCTACAAAAAATAAAAAGGAAAATTAGCCAGGTATGGTGCAGCATGTCTGTGGTTCCGGCTACTCTGGAGGCTGAGGCGGGGAGGATCGTTTGAGCCCAGGAGGTAAAGGCTACAGTGAGCTAGGATTGTGCCACTGCACTCCAGCCTGGGTGACACAGAGCAAGACCCTGTCTCAAAAAATAAATAAACAAATAAAGTAAAATAGTCACAGTGACCCTACCTTGCAAAGTCGAAAGAAGGCATGTGTGCACACAGCCCCTCCCTGGTCCAGGTGCAGCTGCTGGCTGGCCCACAGGCGGCTCCCGGGGGAAACCGTGGGAGGGACAGCACACATGGAGGCCCGAGACTTGGTCATCTGGCCTGCTCGTTGGCAGAGGGGAGCATGTAAGACATAGCACCCCAGGCTGCACCTGGGACAGCAACTGACCCAGGACTCCAAGACATTCCACCAAGTGGCCCTTGGCCTGTCGGGTGAGACCTAGCCTCACAGCAGTAGAGGGGCCAGGAGGACAGGCTGTGGTGTCACCAATAGCCACAGTTGTGTCACAGGAGTGAGTGGGCCCTGGCCTGGGACTTGAGAACTCCCTGGGAGGCAGCCTGCCACCCCCCATCCTCAATCCTCCCCAAACGTCCCAGAGGTGTCCTGCTGGAACCCAGCCTGGTCCTCTCTGTGAGGGGAGGGAGTGTGTGGCTGTTAGTGCCTCCCCACTGCAAAAGGAGCACCTCCTGAGGTTTCTGGGGGCCCAGAGCTGACTCACATGTGGCCTTGGCCTGGTGAACTCACAGGTGGGGAAGAGCATCAGACACAGGTAAAAAGAATGACCACACCACAGGCCGGCAGCTCTAACAGAGGGAGGCCCCCAGACAGTCTGGAGCAGAGGCCTCTGCTTTGGGTAGGGGTGGGACACGGGGAGAGTGCTGTGGCATGGGAACACTTAACTGGCATTTGGGGATGGGTAGCCGGGAACTGGGCACACATGGCTCAAATCCCACTGGTCCATGTGACATGAGACCTTGGGCCAGTGGCTTCCTTCTGCTGTCTCTGCTCCCACCTCTGTGCAGTGAGAATAAGGACAGGCCTCCCTCCTGTGGTTGCCTTGAGGAGGAAATGCAGATTCATGGGCACACTGCCTAGTGCCTGGCCCACAATCTGCCCAAAACCCCAGGAGCTGCTGTGATTGGTTAGCACTCCCTCTCCCATGGCCATGATTTAAGGATGACCAGAGTTTGCCTGCCAGAGAAGAGCGGAGGAGGGGCATGCTTGTGAAGGCAACAGGCTGTGCTGTGGCTCACAGGTGTGAAATGGCTGGGAGTATGTATTAGTCTGTTCTCTCATTGCTATAAAGAAATACCTGGCCGGGCGCGTTTGCTCATGTCTGTAATCTCAGCACTTTGGGAGGCTGAAACGGGACGATGGTTTGAGCTCTGGAGTTTGGGACTGACCTGGGCAACATGGCAAAACTCCATCTCTAGAAAAAAACACAAGAATTAGCTAGGTGTGGTGGCTCTTACCTGTAGTCTCAGCTACCCAAGAGGCTGAGGCAGGAGGATCTCTTGAGCCCAGGAGGCAGAGGTTGCAGTGAGCTGAGATGGTGCCACTGCATTCCAGCCTGGGTGACAGAGAGAGACCCTGTCTCAAAAAAAAAAAAAAAAAAAAGACTGGGTAATTTATAAAGAAAAGAGTTTTAATTGCCTCACAGTTCTGCAGGCTACATAGGAAGCATAGCGGCTTCTGCTTCTGGGGAGTTCTCAGGAAACTTACAATCATGGTGAAAAGCAAAGGGGAGGCAGGCATGTCCCACAGTGACAGCAGGAACAAGAGAGAGAGATGGAGGTGGTGGCAGGTGTCACACATTTTAAAACAACCAGAATTCACAAGAACTCACTCTATAGACAGTACCAAGGGGAGATGGTGCTAAACCGTTCGTGATAACTCCGCCCCTGTGATGCAGTCACCTCTCACAGGCTCCTCCTCTGACACTGGGGATTATAGTTCTACGTGAGATTTGGGGGGGGACACAGATCCAAGTATTAGGAGATGGAAAGACAGCTCCAAAGGGGCTGTCCATGGGCAGGGCCAGGCCAGGGAGCACTTGGTGTTTTACTGTTTTTCAACAGAGAGAGGCCAGAAGGTACTAGAGGGTGTGGACAAGGTGGTCACGGAGGACCGGAGGTGAGCCTTGGGCAGGAACCCAAGTTAAGTGCAGGAGTGAGCTGTGCTGATGTAGGGACGGAGGTGGGCTGTTAACACAGAGATGGTGAGTGACAGTGCCTCAGACCCTTTTTGGCATATGGCAGGTGCTCCAGAGTAGCTGCCGCTGCTATTAATAGGAGGAGTAATAGTGTTGTTTTGTGTTCTGACAGAACAACACAAACATTAAGACCTAAGTTCTGCTATTGTTGTTGAGACTTATCGCGGTAACAGACAGATGGCATTGTCTCCATTTTATGGAGCAGCAGACTGAGGCTCTGAGAGATGGGGGACCCACCCAAGGTCGCGCAGCGGGTAAGCACCTCCACAAAGCATCTCTGAACCATTGCTGTCTCTGCAGGAATGCTCGCCGTATGCAGCCCACCTCTATGATGCCGAGGACCCGTCGACACCCCTGCGCACTGTGCCTGGGCTCTGCCAGGACTACTGCCTGACCATGTGGCAGAAATGCCGGCGGCTGCTCCGCCACTTCTCAACCGACAAGGCGCTCCGGGCGCTGGAGGACAACCGTGACAAGTTCTGCCACTACCTGTCCCTGGATGACACGGACTACTGCTACCCTGACCTGATGTCCAACAAGAACCTCAACTCAGACCTGGGCCACATGGTGGCCGACGCCACGGGCTGCCTGCAGCTTTGCTTGGAGGAGGTGGCCAATGGGCTGCGCAACCCCGTGGCCATGGTCCACGCTGGCGACGGCACCCACCGCTTTTTTGTGGCCGAGCAGGTGGGGCTGGTATGGGCCTACCTGCCCAACCGCTTCAGGCTGGAGAAGCCTTTCCTGAACATAAGCCAGGCGGTGCTCACCTCGCCTTGGGAGGGCGATGAGCGTGGCTTCCTGGGAATCACCTTCCACCCCAGCTTCAAGCACAACCGCAAGCTCTACGTCTACTACTCAGTGGGGATCCGCGCTGAAGAGTGGATCCGCATCAGTGAGTTCAGGGTCTCTGAAGACGACGAGAACGCCGTGGACCACAGCTCTGAGAGGTGGCTTCCCTGGGGAACTGGGTCTGGGTGGGGGATAGGGCACCATATGCACTGGTGTGACAGTACCAGTTGCTATCCTGTTCTTTTTTTTTTTTTTTTTGAGACGGAGTCTCGCTCTGTTGCCCAGGCTGGAGTGCAATGGCACAATCTCGGCTCACTATAACCTCTGCCTCCCAGGTCCAAGCGATTCTCCTGCCTCAGCCTCCTGAGTAGCTGGGATTATAGGCACGCACCACCACGCCCAGCTAATTTTTGTATTTTTAGTAGAGATGGGGTTTCACTATGTTGGTCAGGCTAGTCTCAAACTCCTGACCTGTGATCCACCCGACTCAGCCTCCCAAACTGCTGGGATTACAGGCATGAGCCACTGCGCCCAGCAGTATACTGTTCTTAAATATTATGAATGTTTAACACACCTGGTGGGGGTGGTGAATTTCATGCTTTGGGGCCTGGGGAAGGACAGTTTTGCAGAACAGACCTCACATGGGGATCATATCCAAACCTCCATCTGGCCTGCGAGGCCCAGCATTTCTCCACCAGCTCTTCTGTTTCAGGCACTTTAGACGGTTCATTTGATTCTCCTAAAACCCACTGAGGCTAGTATTATTTTTCCCATTTTACAGATGAGAAAGTGGAGACTTAGAGAGGTGGAGTGTTGGGTCACACAGGGAGGGAGCATCAGAGCCAGAACCCTGATCCATTTTCTCCAAAGCCCACCGTCTGCCCCAGCCTGCCTCACTCTGGCCCGAAGGTGCCATTCTTGAGCCCCAGCCTGCCTCACTCTGGCCCGAAGGTGCCATTCTTGAGCCTCAGCCTGCCTCACTCTGGCCTGAAGGTGCTATTCTTGAGCCCCAGCCTGCCTCATTCTGGCCTGAAGGTGCTATTCTTGAGTCCTACTGGCTCCTTTTTCCCACCTGAATCCCCTGCCCACGGGAACTTGCTTTCCTTCCTGCCCTGAGGTTCATCTGTTCCTGCCTGCGGGCTTCTGCTCCTCTCAACAACTCCTGCAGAGCCTGCGCTCTGTGGCTGATTTATGCCCCAACTATTTTCAAAATGGGTCTGACTTGGTCGCACAGACTATGTGGGGCACACGTAGTCTGAAATAAACCCTGTATCAGCTTACTCAGTAGGTAGACTTTGATTCTGGGAGTCAGTTACTCAGGTGTTCGGAATGATCAAAGGGCTCTGATGCCATGGCTCACACCTGTAACCCCAACACTTTGGGAGGCTAAGGCGTGTGTACTACTTGAGGTCAGGAGTTCAAAACCAGCCTGGCTAACGTGGCAAAACCTCATCTCTACTAAAAACACAAAAATTAGCTGGGTGCGGTGGTGGACACCTGTAGTACCAACTACCTGGGAGGCTGAGGCAAGAGAATTGCTTGAATCTGGGAGGTGGAGGTTGCAGTGAACTGAGATCCTGACACTGCACTGCAGCCTGAGTGATAGAGCGAGACTCTGTCTAAAAAGAAAAAAAAAGGGGTGGAAACCTGGGGAAGGAAGGCAGCGACTCTGAGATTAACAACTGGAAGAAGCTGCCTATTGGGCCAGGAGGACAAAGTGAGACGATGGGGTTACTCGGGCTGTGGAGCCGGGGACACCCAATAGAAGCTAGAACTGTAACTGGCATGGGCAGGAGGAGGTGGGGCCAGGGAGAAGAAGCCGCTGCTGCCAAAAGAGAGGCTGCTTAAAGCAGAGAAGGGGAGAAATCCCAGTGCTCCTGCCTCTCCAGGGTCCTGCCAATGTGTCCACTGGCTGAACCTCGCTGGAGCCCAGCTAGCTAAGAAACCTGGGAAATGTCATTCACAGAAGCTGACCCCCTGAAGTAGAGAGGAGGTAGTGGGAGGGCCAGGACCGGGTCTGAGGGCAAACTGGCAAAGAACAGCACATTGTGTGTTTGATGAAACTGTAAAATCTTGATACTGAACGTATAAAAAGAGGAGAAATCAACTATGACAGCTATGAGGGCTAACATGATTCTTTATGATGCACAGCATTAGTCTTGACTATGAGCTTCCTGGCAGCCAGAGCAAAAGGAGGAAACATAATTCTCAGGATCTTACATGAGCCTGTACAGCCAGTTCTCCAAGAGAACTGTGGCTCATGCCTGTAATCCCAGCATTTAGGGAGGCTGAGATGGGTGAATCACTTGAGGTCAGGAGGTCAAGACCAACCTTGCCAACATGGTGAAACACCATCTCTACTAAAAATACAAAAATTAGCCGGACATGGTGGTGGGCACCTGTAATCCCAGCTACTCTGGAGGCTGAGGCAGGAGAATTGCTTGAACCTGGGAAGCGGAGGTTGCAGTGAGCCAAGACTGCACCATTGCACGCCAGCCTGGGCGACAAACCAAGACTCTGTCTCAAAAAAAGAAAAGTCTTTTCCATCGTGAAATGACATCCAAGAGAGACCGTGATCTTGTTTTGTGTTTTTGGCTCATGCCGAAAGGCTGAGTTTTGTGGGTCCCTTATCTTTCTTTAGGATAATCCTGGAGGTGAAAGAACCAGCCTCAAACCACAACGGGGGCCAGCTGCTCTTCGGGGATGATGGGTACCTCTACATCTTCACCGGAGATGGCGGGATGGCCGGAGACCCCTTTGGGATGTTTGGAAATGCCCAGAACAAGTATGCTCATCTTTCGGTTGGTTAGTGGGTTGGTTTACGTACTCCTGGGCTTCTCATACGCTTCTAGAGACCGAGTTCCTTCCTCAGCCACGCAGTGTAGGGCAGGAGAAAAGGTTCTGGGTCCCAGCTCAGCCTGCAGTTAGCTGGGCAGCCTAGGCAAGTCACTTGCCCTCATCAGTTAGAGGAGGTAAAAATCCCCAATGCAGGTGGCTTGTCACAAGAAGTAAAGGCGATTGTGGCTGCCCAGGGTCAGGCACAGTAGTTTCTGATCACAGGCACCTGAGAGGTGACATCAGTGAGCCTCAGGGCAGATTGGATTTTCTCTAAGGACAGCCTTTCCTGCTGGAAGAAGGGAAGGGGTGCACCCCAAGCTGAATGGAAAGTGTGAGCTGGCTGGAGCAGGGTGGCACCAGCACAGGACCTCCTGTCTTAGGGTCCCTCAGGAAGACCCAGATGTTAATGTGTAGTCTTGCTCTCTTCCCCACTTCCAGGCTTGAGCAAGTAAGCTCAAGATCTCATTCCATTACACACACACATACACAAATATGCATGCATGCACATATGCACACAAACATGCATACACATACATGTACACACATCCACACACATCTACATACATACACTCGTTCACACACATACACACGAACAGTCTTGTGCATGTGAACAGGATGTCCAGGAGTCTGAAGCCAGCCTCCTCATTCCCTTCACCAAAATGGTAAAACCTTCCTCAGCCCAGGAGGTAAAAACAGCAAGCATGGTGTCGATGACTCTAATTAAAGTGCTCACACTTTGTGAGTTGTGCTTTCATATGTGACAGCGTAAGCATCGTCCCAGCTTTCTCATGTTTGGGATATGTTTAGAGAGGAAAGTTGAGAAAATAGAAATTAAGGATTAGTGGATAATTGGACAGAACTTCAAAACATCGTTTTGCTGCTATGAGTTTTGCCCACTCAGCTATCGAATCGTGGTATGGTGCATGGGCTCAGAGGTGTGATCTAGGCGGCACTCAGAAGCCTGGAACGACGAGAGGAATCCATGGGGGAAATAGAAGGCCAGCAGCAGGGGCTTGATCACAAGGCACATACTGGGTGGGAGCATTTCACTACCATGAAAGAGGACACTTGTTTGCTGTCCCTACTGATAAGGGATAGGCGTGGGTGGTAATGCTATGTGAGGATAATGGAGTACAGCTTCACAAACCCTGTCTTGAAAAGCAATCCAGAGGGAGGACACCAAAATGCTAACAGCAAGGGAAGCTGATGCATTAAGTTGGTGCATCAAAAATCATAGATAAAAAGGGAATGTTCTCTGCACTGTCTTTAAGCGCATTACAGATTTTTCCCATCATGTGTCACTTTTGTTATGAGCTACTCATCCCCTGAACTGCATGGAGCTTAGGGCTGTACCCCTGTGCTCTCTCCCCCTCCCCCGACACCCACACTCTGGTAGGTGTGTCCTAGTATGTTTTATCATTTGTGGGTCCTAGTAGGTTTTATCGTTTTGGCTAAGGGAATGGGGGAGGCTGATTTGGGACTCCTGGACGTCCTGTTTACTCATCCTGTTTGGCTTTTATTGCAATCCATCATTCACTGATTCAGCAGACACTTAATGGCCCTCCGCTATGTGCTGGTCACAATGCCAGGTACTGGAAGAAAACTGTAAATACAAGTCATTTTTCTACTGGAATTTCCACGCTATAGCACAGTCTGGGAGGAATGAGTGGACGGAGCGGGACCACTCTAAAGTTATAGTTGAGGACACCCACATTCCACAGTGTGTGGTAAGGAGCTTGGGTTTCTGGGCAGGCTGTCTGGGCCGATCCCAGCGGTGCGGCAACTGGGCAACGTTATTCGGCCTTTCTGAGCTCTGCTGCCACAGCTATAGAGGGGGATCATACTAGGAGCCACCTACCTAAAAGACTGTTGTGAGGACAAGATGAAATAGATGATGTGTGTGTCCAATGCTTGGGACAGGCCTGGCGCACAGGAAGCTGGGAGATGCATGTTGAATGAATGAATGAGGTTACCGGGCTGTAAGTAGCTAAGGAGGACTGGATCCCGGGGTCTCTGGCCCCGCAACCTAGGCTCACCCTGCACCTGGCTCAATGGTCAGCCAGCGCCCCGGCACCTGCCCCGCAGAGCCCGTGCGTCCCGGCGCACAGCGACCCTGAGCCGCGCCCTCTCCCACCCCGCCCGCAGGTCGGCGCTGCTGGGCAAGGTGCTGCGCATCGACGTTGACCGCAAGGAGCGCGGCCTGCCCTACGGCATCCCGCCCGACAACCCGTTCCTGGGAGACCCGGCTGCGCGGCCCGAGGTCTACGCCCTGGGCGTACGCAACATGTGGCGCTGTTCCTTCGACCGCGGCGACCCCGAGTCGGGCGCCGGCCGCGGGCGCCTCTTTTGCGGCGACGTGGGCCAGAACAAGTACGAGGAGGTGGACCTGGTGGAGCGCGGCGGTAACTACGGCTGGCGCGCGCGCGAGGGGTTCCAGTGCTACGACCGCAGCCTGTGTACCAACGCCTCGCTCAGTGAGTGCCCGCGCCCCAGGCACCCCAGCCCCGGATCCGCCTCCACCTCACCTCACCTGCCGTGCGGCAGGGCCTCCCTCAGGGACCACCCGCGCCCCGGGATCCCGGGCCCCACTCTGTGAGCTGTGCGGCAGGGCCTCACTTGAGGGCCACACGCACCCCAGGCACCCCCTGATCCTGGGTCTGCCCCCACCCCAACCGCATGGGCTGTGCACTAACGCCTCCCTCGGAGACTGCCTTCGCCCTCACCCGAAGCCTCCCTGCGCCTTGGAGGCCTCCCAGCACTGCTTTTCTGTTCCTCCTCGCCCCATCCCCACCTGGCACCCCTGCAGACAACTTTTCCAACACGCCAGCCCTGCTGTGGCACACCCCTTCCTCCGTGGCCGCCCGCCCCCGCGGAATCCCTCTGGAATTCTCCTGGCAGATGAACCTGCTGGCCGCCGGCTCACCGCAGCTTCTCGCCCTCCCACCCCGCAGATGACATACTGCCGATTTTTGCCTACCCGCACACAATTGGCAAGTCGGTCACCGGGGGCTACGTGTACCGGGGCTGCGAGTACCCCAACCTGAACGGCCTCTACATTTTTGGTGATTTCATGACCGGGTAAGTAGCCTAGTGCCCTTGTGCCCCTGGCTGCTGCCACTGGCTCCTTGGGATTGGCTCTTTGGTGAAAAGGAGTGTATGTGTGTGCCCCCGTTCCTGCACATGTGCCTCACCGCTCTGATGGGGCCAGGTTGTGGGCCTGACACCTGCATCCACCTGCTTCTCCGTTATGCATCCTGAGCCTCTGCTGCAGGCCTCAGTGCCTCTGTGATAGTCACACAACTCATGGCATTGAAGACTGGAGGTTTGCTTCAATGCTGGGTCCCTGATCTTCCTGTCCCCCCTGAGAACCATGTGCTCTGCATCTGGCAGCAGTTCTGATGGGCAGGAGGGCAGATCAGGAACAATTTCTTGACACTCAGGGCCATCCTGCTCCTGGGAAAGCCATAGCTTGTCACTCAACCAGGTGATGGGGGCCTGGAGTCCTGCCCAGCCTACCCCAGCCAGGACTGCAGAGAGCTTGCAAAGCTTGAGAAACTTTGCTTAGATGGATGGATGGACCCCAGAGGACAGTGGCTGCCCATGGGCCTCCTAATGGGGAGAGGAGGTGGGGCTCTTGTGGCCTTGGAGCCTTGTTGCCCTGCCCCTGTGCTCTAGGGCAGCAGTGCCACCCACTGAGACCCTGTTGTTGGGGGAGGATGAATTACATCCCAAATAGGCTTGATAGGGGAGGGAAACCTACATCATAAGCCTCCTGTGAGTCAGGCTCTGTCCCCAAGGGTGCTTATGGAGCCTCATGACAGTGGGCCAAGTGGCCTGGTCTGAACCCTGGCCTACTTACTGGCCGGGTGACCTTGGCCAGTTACTTTACCCTTCCTTATCTTCAGCTACCTCATCTGCAACATCGAGATGATCGTAGTACTTGCCCCCTAAGTTTGTTTTGAGAACTGAATCAGTTAATACGTAAATAGCACTTAGAATCTAGTGTGCACTCAAAAGAAAGAAAGAAAGAATCTAGTGCATGCTTAATATATAGTATTTTTGTTTTTGCTGTTGTTTTGAGACAGCATCTCACTTTGTTGCCAAGGCTGGAGTGCAGTGGCACAATCTCAGCTCACTGCAGCCTCCACCTCCCAGGCTCAAGCAATCCTCCCACCTCAGCCTCCTGAGTGGCTGAGACTATAGTCGTGTGCCACCCTGCCTGGCTAATTTTTGCAATTTTTGTAGAGATGGGCTCTTGGTCTGTTGCCCAAGCTGGTCTTGAACTCCTGGACTCAAGCGATCCTCCTGCCTCGGCCTCCCAAAGTGCTGGAATTTACAGGCTCAAGGCATGATGCCCAGCCTGGTGTTTCCTATTTCCAGGCAGCCTATTTCCATGCATTCTTCAGAAGGCAGCTGAATAGGGTTCCTAAGGAGGGGGAATAAAGACGTGAAGTTGCCTGAGGCTGGTGGGAGAATTCTGACTTTGTGTCCAGCCTGCAGCCTGAAGCTGAGAGAGATACCCAAACTGGGCCCCTGGAAGTTGAATCCCTCTCATCTCCACCCCTTCCCCTCAGACCCAGTTTTTCCATCTGGAAAATGGGTGTAGATGAAGCCTCTGTTTTTACCCCTGATTCTCCTTTCTCCCTTCTGTCCTTCCCGGGAGGGCCCAAGTCTGACCACAGAAATTCCACTAATTTTGCCAGTTTTCTCAGCCCCTCTGCTGGGTCAGGCAAGGGCCAGGATGACAGAGATGAAGAGCACCCCTCACACCCAAGCCAGGGAGACAGACCCACTCAGTCCACTGTACTGCAACCTCAGAGAGCCTGTGCACAGTGTGGGGAGCCCAGCATGCAGGCATTCAGGGAGGGCTTCACAGAGGAGGGGATGTCTCTAAGCAGGACCTGGAAGTATGAATAGGTGATTGGCAAGCCGAGATGGGAGTAAGGAGCAAGGTTAGCATATTCCAAAGATGTTGACGCTCCAGTGCTTGGCAGGTTCTGAAACCGGTGAGCTCTTGACAGCGTTGTGCCCTCTGCAGGAGCCAGTGGGCAAGATTGCATTCAGGGTGCAGGAACCAAGCTAGTCTTGTTCATTCTTGTGGGTCTCTGGTAGGTGCTTAGTGAAGATTGCACACAGTGACAGCTTCATGGACGTATGCAGTCACACAGGGCCCCATGCTCAGAAAGGTCCATGCTTGATCTCATGCTCTGTGGTTACTATCTTGAATTCTTAATACTTTTTCAACGAGCGGCCCTGCATACTTGTTCTGCACTGGGCTTGGCAAATTGTGTATGGTCCTTGCATGAATCGGTGGGTGAGTGGATGGACGGATGGATGGATGGATGTGGGAGGGAGGGATGGATGGATTGGTGGGTAGGTTTCCCTAGGTGCCATGCCAGGCATGGCCTCACAGTTCATCTTCCTTTGCAGGCGTCTGATGTCCCTCCACGAGAACCCGGAGACAGGCCAGTGGCAGTATAATGAGATCTGCATGGGCCATGGCCAGACCTGTGACTTCCCAAGCCTCATCAACCACTACTACCCACACATCATCTCCTTTGGGGAAGATGAGGCCGGTGAGCACTCCTGACACCTCTCCTTGTTGGCTGCCCATCCCTGGGACGGTCCTCCACCCTGCAGGCCTTCTGGTCTCTGATGTGGGGGAAGGACCACACAGGCCTGAAACTAGTTCCCATGGGGAGGAAGATGTTCCCTGGGCTCCGGACCTTGCATGTGCCTGTGTTATAGGAAAGGGGTCCTGCACTAGAGCCCAAGAGAGGGTTCTTGGATCTCACACAAGAAAGAATTCAGTGCAAGTCCATAGAGTAAAGTGAAGTAAAGGAATAGAAGAATGGCTGCTCCATAGAGCAGCCCCAGGGCGGCTGGGTGCCTATTTTTATGGTTATTTCGAGACGGTATGCTAAACAAGGGGTGGATTATTCATGCCTCCCCTTTTTAAAGCATGTAGGGTAACTTCTTGACATTACCATGGCATTTGTAAACTGTCATGGTGCTGGTGGGAGTGTAGCACTGAGGAGGCCCAGAGGTCACTCTTAGCGCCATCTTGGTTTTGGTGGGGTTTAGTCAGCTTCTTTACTGCAAACTGTTTTATCAGCAAAGTCTTTACAACCTGTATTTTGTGCCGACCTCCTATCTCATTCTGCAACAGAATGCCTTACATGTCTGCGAAGGCAGCCCAGTGTTTCAGCCTTATTTTGCCCAGCTCCTATTCAAGATGGAGTCGCTCTGGTTCACATGCCTCTGACACATCCTTGGGCGTCTTCACCTCTCTGAGCTTCTGTTTGTTCCTATGGAAAATGGAAGTAGTGGCCCCTTTCTTCCCCTTGCCCTACCCCACCCTGGGCAAGTTGCCAGGAGTCCTAGACTAATGACACGGGAAAGCGTCCCTGCCAGTTAGTTGGCCGGAAGGTCTGGAATGGTGGAAATGCAGGCAGGTGGTGGAAGGGAGTCTCCTCAGAGCCCTCCCCTGGTCTGGATTTCCTGATGGCAAATGTATTTGGGCCGTTAAATGAAGCCACGTAATTATTTCAAAGCGGGTGGACACAGCCTTCTTGTCGGTTACTGGGTCCTGAATCTAGGCACTTGTGTTTTCAATGCAAGGGACAGAGTGGGAGGGGAGAGGAAGAGGGGCTGTGGAGACTGGATTCTGCTCCAGCCTCCTGCCTTTGTCCTTGGCCCGGGATTGTTCCTGGACAAAAGCCCAGGGGCCCCCGGCGGGCCCTAATGGATGCTCATTGGGGTTGCTAGGCAACAGCCGCCCAGGGGCCTTTGGAGGGGTGTCCCCTGCAGGGCTCAGTGCCCAGAGCCCCCAGGGCTGAGTCTGGGAAACCTTTGTTGAACCGTCAAAATCTGAATTAAGCAGCCCCCAGCCCCCACAGCCATTCCTAAGCCCTCTGGGCCCTTGAAAGCCCTTTCTTTTGGTCAGTAGGGGGTTAATGTGTTTTGGAAGCGGGGGCGGCCCCTCCCCCGACAGAGGCAGGGCCTGAAAGGAAGGTGCGTTCCCAAAGGCCATTCCTCAGTCCGCTGAGTGACACCCGAGTGTGGAAAGCCAGGAGGAGGCACCAGAGAGACAGGCGGCCCAGAGACAGCTTTGGCAGCGGCCTCTGGAAGGCACCGGCCCGGAGCCCTGCGGTCCGGCCAGAACAAACCTTCCCCTGCTCCCGGACCCCGCTTCTGCCTCTCTAGTTGTTGATACTTGCAAATTACAAAACAAGTCTTCTGGCCCAGTGTGCTCCAGGGACAGTCCACACCACAGAGACCAGGAGGGTGGCTCAGTTTCCCACCAAGGGAAGACGTCCCCTTTGCCCTATGAAAGTTCACGGAAAACCACTGGCAAGGGGCAGATTCCTCGGAGAAAAGGGGCACAAATGCATTCTGTCACAGTTTTACATGACACAGGAACCCTTGGAATGAAGACCCAAAGATACAGGAGAAATTGTCCATTTTCTTTTTTTTTTTTGAGATGGAGTTATGCTTTTGTTGCTCAGGCTGGAGTGAAGTGGTGTGACCTCGACTCACTGAAACCTTCGCCTCCAGGGTTCAAGTGATTCTTACACCTCAGCCTTCCAAGTAGCTGGGATCACAGGCATGTGCCACCATGCCTGGCTACATTGTGTGTATTTTTTAGTGGAAACGGGTTTCACCATGTTGGCCTGGCTGGTCTCAAACTCCTGACCTCATGCGATCCCTAGTGCTAGGATTACAGGTGTGAGCCAACATGCCTGGCCAAAATTGTTCATTTTTATGCTCAGGTGCAACGAAGTGTGGACAGCTGTGTAGAAATGTGATTGAACAAAAAGGGTCTGAGCTCATGCTGATTGAGTGGGCAGAGCCAGCACAGCCTGTGTGTCTAGAATCTTCTTGGCCTCTCTGCGCATGCATTCCTTCCTTCTGGGTATGGGACTGTCTCTGGAATAGGAGACTTATGACCTGCAAATGAGTCAGACAGGTCAGATCATCTCTTCCATTTTTGTGTTTTTTTTTTTTTTTTTTTAGAGGCAGAATCTTGCTCTGTCATCCAGGGTGGAGTGCAGAGTCGCCATTATGGCTCACTGCAGCCTCAAACTCCTGGGTGATCCTTCTGCCTCAGCATCCCAAGTAGCTGGGACTACAGGCACATGCAACTATTTTTAAATAGTTTGTAGAGATGGGGTCTTGCTATGTTGCCTAGGCGGGTGTGGAACTCCTGGGCTCAAGTGATTCCCTGCCTCAGCCTCCCAAAGTTACAGCCACCACATCTGACCTAGATAATTTCTTTTTTGTTGTTATCGTTGTTTTTTGTGTTTTTTTGTTTTGTTTTTTGTGTTTTTGTTTTTGAGACAGGGTCTTGCTCTGTCGCCCAGGCTGGAGTACAGTGGTGCGATCTCAGCTCATTGCAACCTCCGCCTCCCAGATTCAAGAGGATTCTCATACCTCAGCCTTCTGAGTAGCTGGGACTACAGGCGTGCACCACCATGCCTGGCTAATTTTTGTATTTTTAGTAGAGACAGGGTTTTGCCATGTTGGCCTGGCTGGTCTCGAACTCCTGACCTCAAGTTGTCCGCCTGCCTCAGCCTTCCAAGGTGCTGGGATTACAGGCATGAACCACTGTGCCTGGCCTCAGATAATTTCTTTATGGCCAGTTTTACACAGAAAGGTGGGGAGAGAGTTACAATAATATTTTTAGGTTCCGACCAGCTTTGGGGGAAATGTGTGCCAGTTTCTATGATCTGCCTCGGGAAAGAGGGAGTCTAGTTTCTATGGTGCCTCAGGGAAGAATAGATCTGAGATAGGAGGACAGGAGGTCAGAGAAACACTTTTGCTTTGGAGGCGGCTTCTGAGGCCTTCATTTTGGAGCACAGTTTTCTGAGTCTCAACAGCAGCCCTGGGGGGGCTTGGCAGCACCCGAGGGGGCACCCTGTGTGTGCAGAGGGTTGGGGGCTACAGCTCCCATCAGATCCGGGCTGGAAGGCGCCTTGCAGTCTGCCTGGTCCAAACTTGTCATTTTACTAATGGGGAGACTGTGGCTGACTATGAACGCCTGGTTATGGAGGAGGGGCACCGTGCCTGACCTGGGCCCTGGACCCTCCCAGAGGTGGGCCTTAAGGTCAGCCGGCCAGATGAACCAGGGAGTTCCTTGAGGGGTTGGAGCAGAGGAGACCAGGGCTGCTCCTGGTGGCTCACTCCAGAAACAGGCCCAGAGGGGAATGGACGGCCCAAGGCTATGTGGCCAATTTAGGGCTATGCCCGTAGACTTCCCAGCAGGAACGTCTCACCTGGGGACCCCCACTGCTGCAGGCCTACAGCCCCTGCCCTCACCTCTCCAGTGGGGCTAGTGCCCCTGGGTTAGGGGTTCAGGAGCCATTGACCACTCAGCAGCCTGCTGTCCTCATTCCCCAGCCCCATCACAGCTGGGTCTACCCCGGTTACACAAGTTATCCTTCAATTGTCTTCCCTTGGCACTTTCCAAGCCTCTTGTGCCTTGCCTCTCAGACCCCACCCCCATGCAGCCCTCCCTGACTGCACCTGTCCCCAGGGATATGCTTTCCTCCAATCTGTTACCAAGCTTTCTCAGACCCTCCTTGGGGAAACCCCCCTCCCTGACCCCAGCCCAGCTGAGCTCTCTGCTATCCTTTTGTTCTTTTTTTTTTTAAGACAGAGTCACACACTATTGCCTGGGCTGGAGTGCAATGGCAAGATCTCAGCTCACTGCAACCTCCTCCTCCCAGTTTCAAGCAATTCTCCTGCCTCAGCCTCCTGAGTAGCTGGAATTACAGGCACCTGCCACCATGCCTGGCTAATTTTTTGTATTTTTTAGTAGACATGAGGTTTCACTATGTTGGCCAGGGTGGTCTCAAACTCCTGACCTCATGATCCACTGACCTCGGCTTCCCAAAGTGCTGGGATTACAGGCGTGAGCCACCATGTCTGGCTGCCTGCTATCCTTTTACAAGGACAAGCCTGCGGGGACTGGGGATGAGGGGTAGTGAGTTGGGGCTGGCTTCGAGGGTATTCCAGGCGGGGCTCTCACTGGTCGCTTTGTTCTGTCCAAAGGGGAGCTGTACTTCATGTCGACAGGGGAGCCAAGTGCCACAGCCCCACGCGGGGTCGTCTACAAGATAATTGACCCATCCAGGTGAGTCCCGGCCTCCAGGACAGAAGCTCCTGCTGTCTGTCAGGGCTCCTAGCTACATTGGCCCGTCCCCTCCGCCTCACCCTCAGGTGGGTGGAATTCATCCCCATTTTTCAGACAAGAACACTGAGGCCCCGAGAGGAACGTGATTCGCCTCACTGGGACTCCCTTCCGGGGCTCCATCTCCCCGGCTTCCCTCCTAGCTGTAAGGCCAGAAGCGCCGTGGCAGCCATGTCCCAGCTCCTTCCGTGTGCAGCTCACTGACTTCTCAGCTGTTCATTTTACAGTGGTGGAAATGAGCACAAAGATATAATGTCACGGCCCAGGGCCCAGAGCCAGGGTTGGGCCCAGGGCTTCAGCTCCAGAGCCTGCCCCAAGCCCTTGGTTGTGTGCCTTAGCCTCACCCTCTCCTAGCACCTCCCCCAACCCACTTTCCCTCCATGCCCCGGTCCAGCCCTTCCTCACTGTCATCACTCAGACTTGTAATCTCTGGGCTACGTGACTGACCGTCTCCCAACTGGTCTGGGGGTCTCAGGGCCAAGCCTGTGTCTCTTCACTTTGCAGAGGCCACCCAGGTACTGAGAATGGCACGGGGCAGAGACTCAGGAATGCTTGATGAATAAATGAGTGATCCTCTTTCTAAGCTGCTTCTCAGCCCTTGGATTTTCACTCCTCTGCTGGCTTCCGCAGCAGCCTGAATGGCCCTTCAACACCCTGGTTCGGTCCAAGCTTGTGCTTATCTCTAACACAAGGCCTGAGATCGCACTCCAAGAATCCACACACTTGGCAGACCCTAGGAGTCCTCAATGTGTTTAGCTACCCTAAATGTTGAGATATGCCAGGTTTGGGAAAATCCCGAAACAAGCTGGCAGGTTTCATGTTCTTGGGAGGGAGATGCGAGGAGTTCAAGTCCAGCCTGGGCAATACAGGGAGAGACCTTGTCTCTCAAAAAATTAATTTATTTTACAGAAAGAAAAATTATAAAACACTTATTGTGCTTAAAATATTTTATGCTGGGTTCAGTGGCTCACGCCTGTAATCCCAGCACTTTGGGAAGCTAAAGCAGGGGAGGTGCTTGAGCCCATGAATTCAAGACCAGCGTGATCAGCATAGCAAGGTCCCATCTCAACAAAGAATTTAAAAATCAGTCCAGTGTGCTGGCACACGTCTGTAGTCCTAGCTACTTGGGATGCTCAGGGGAGAGGATCACTGGAACCCAGGAGGTCAAGGCTGCAGTGGGTTATGATCACACCACTGCCCTCCAGCCTGGGTAACAGAGCAAGACCCTATCTCAAAATAAAAGAAATTTTAAAATCGTTTTAGATGTACAGATAAGCGGCAAAACGTATAGCGTTTCCCGTATGCCCCTTACCCTGTGTCCCTTATTATGAACACCTTACATTATTATGGTATACTTGTCAAAATTAATCAACTAATATTGCTCCATCACTATTCATTAAACTCCATACTCTTTTACTTTTTTTTTTTTTTTTGAGATGGAGTCTTGCTCTGTCACCCAGGCTGGAGAGCAGTGGTGGGATCTCAGCTCACTGCAACCTCTGCCTCCTGGGCTCAAGTGATTCTCTTGCCTCAGCCTCCTGAGTAGCTGGGACTACAGGCGCCACCACCATGACTAGCTAATTTTTATATTTTTAGTAGAGAAGGGGTTTTGCCATGTTGGCCAGGCTGGTCTTGAACTCCTGACCTCAAGTGATTGGGCTGCCTCAAGCTCTCAAAGTGCTGGGATGACAGGCGTGCGCCACTGCACCCAGACCCCACACTCTTTCAAAGGCTGTTTCTAGTTGTTCCCAGTGTCCTTTTCCTATTCCAGGTTCCTATGTTACCTTTAGTTGTATCTCCTCAGCTTCCCTGTTTGTGATGGCTTCTCACTTTCCTTGTTTACCAGACTTGGGTTTTTTTGCTTGTTTTAAAAACACGCATAAAGTATTGATATGACATCTCATCAAAGAAAATGTCATCACTTCCTCCTTCCATCCCTTCCTCCTGATTTCCCTGAGGTCCCGTCTATCATCATCTCTGCAGCGCCAGGATTGATGTGGTTGCATCTGGAGCACATGTAGACTTGGTATTTCTCCTTCATGTATGCCATAGTGTCTAAATGTTGCAAACATCACCTTCGAAAGAACCATTTCTAATGGCTGCGTGATTTTCTGCTGAGTCACTGTAATTGTCCTACCCATTCCATGGAATTTTAGGTTATTTCCAATTTTCAAAAAAAGAATGCTTCTCTGAGGAAATGTTACATATTATGAACACCTTACATTATTATGATATACTTGTCAAAATTAATCAACTAATATTGCTCAACTAATATAACACAGTGGTGTTTTTGGGTGGATTTCCTACCCTTTTGCATAACAAAGACTGTCTAATTTCCTTAAGGATCAAAAGCCCCACTGGGTCTGTCTGAAGTGGGTGGATGTTCTCTGGAGGTCACAGCAACCAAAAAACCTCACTCTTTGAGAAGCGTGTGTGCCTAGTTGTGTTTCTGCAGTCTCTGGGGACAAAGGCCTTTGTCCCTCTTTGGTGTCCCTCTTGGGCCAAGCCTGTCCAGAGGCCACTCCGTGTCACGTGGCTACTTCACCCCTTTGCCATTCCACTGGAATCCTGTTGAAGTCGTGGACGCACGTGGCTCTGTCCTGGAATGGAGTTGTTCCCAAAGAGTCATAGATTGACGGCCAAAAACTAATTAAAACGGAATTCCATTCCCTACTGTGCCCTCAAAATTGTCAACGGAGACCCAATTACTAGTCCTGGCTCCCTTCTCCCTTTTGTCTCCCTGCTCTCTCAAACCCCACATGCCAAGACCCCAGGTCCCTCAGCCCTGCCTCCAGCTGCGAGGAGGCTTTCCTCACCCACGCCACATCCTTTAGATGGTTCCAGGCAGAGGAATCTCTCAGATTCTGCATCATCAGAAATCCAGGAACCAGAGGGTCAGAGAGAGACCCTTCTCAAAGGCTGTGGGGCTGGAGGGAGAGGGTGGCAGGCAGGAATCAGGCTGCATTTATAGGAGTTGGAGGCAGGCTGCAGGAGGAGAGAGACTGGCATTTGATCACACGCTGGGGACAGAGTCCATGCTCCGGGTTAGAAGTGTCTTGGGAAAGTGTAAGCCTCCAGCCCTGGTGCTATTCTGGCAGAGGCTGAGCTTGCACCTGGTGGGCTGTTATGGGGGATTCATGCCCTGGAGCTCTTAGAATGAGAGCTGGGGGCAATTCCTGGGGGCATGGAATGGGCAGAGATGCCGCCGGCCACACAGTAGGTGAACAGTAAACGGCTGCCTGTTACCATTGCTGCTGGCCATACCAGTCTCGATGCAGGGGAAAGGTAATGGCAGGGGGACATCCTCAGGATGGGCTCCCAGGGTAAGACTCATGACCTCCCGTGTGTCATTGGCAGGCGGGCACCACCTGGCAAGTGTAAGATCCAGCCTGCTAAGGTGAAGACGAGAAGCCGCCTCATCCCCTTTCTGCCCAGAGAAAGTAAGTGCCTGCCAGTGGGGACACTGAGGGAGGGGGAGCTCCCGCAGCCCACATCACTGCCCCTCCATCCAGATGTGGGTCTTACCAGCTGGACCTAGATGCCCCTCTTCGGCCCCTGTGCTTAGCACTGTGCCTGGCACACATTAGACATGATGGTAAGCTGGATGGGACTTGAACTAAATTGGGTCTTGCTTGATTGGTTGCAGTTCCTTAAACCAAGAGAGAAATAGCTGGTGCCAGGCAAGGTATGCTCCGAGTTCTTGGGAGGGACAGAGAAAGAGGATGTGTCTGTGTGTAAACAAGGGAGACTGGAAGAGTTATTTGTGGGGGGGCTGGCATGTAGGCTGGGCCCTCAAGATGGTCCCATGTTGACAAGCCTGGTGAGGAGGGACAGCCAAGCAGGTCCACAAATGACTGCCCACTGGGTCTGGGGTCTAGGGGGAGGGGTATACCCCAGGCTGAGACTGGGACTTTTCCCCTCTGCACAAGTTAGGTGGGAACAAGGACCCCGTGTTGCCAGGTCTTCCAGTTCTTCAGAGAAGCAGGACCCCCCCCCACCCCCCCATCCACTTATTCACCAGGGACACATGCCCTGCCCTGGGGATGCAGCACACAGCGAGGCCCTGCGGGCCTTGCCTTCTCAGCCTGTTAGATCCAACCTCCCAATTCAAAGTGTTGGCAACCAGTTCAGAATTTTAAAAACCACTCTGTGGGCCAAGGAAAGTATTTCAGCAGACCAGGTGGGCTTGGCAGGCCACCCATAGGCGGACTGGGTGTGTATGGGGTTGGGGAGGGCAAGAAGAGAGGGAGGCTAGGCACCTGGGCAGAAGAGGTACTGGTGTAGAGGGGGAAGGGGCTGAGCTCAGTGGTTTTGGAAGTGAGTGCTGGCCACAGTTGCTTTCAGGGCTTGGTAAGTTTTTCATTTACTCATTCAGCAGTTTCTGGCACTTTTGTTAGTTACTGGCTCCATGCTGGATACCAGGGCCACCGTGAGAAGTCAGACCAGGCCCTGTTCGACTGGGACGGACAGAGATACCATATACTGTCCCAGGCCCTGTGATCGAATTGTGCGCCAGGTGCCGTGAGGACCCCCAGTGGAGACGGGTGGAGGGTAGGCATTCCTGGAGTCTGAAAAGAGGAAGGGTGCACCAAGGGGGGTTTACTTCAAGGGGTGGCACCGAGGCAGGATGACATGCGGTGGCACTGAGGGGGCAGCATCAAGGGGTGGCACTGAGGCAGGGTGGCACAGGGGGTGGCACTGAGGCAGGGTAGCATGGGGGTGGCACTGAGGGGGGTGGCACTGAGTGGGGATGGCACCAGGTGTACCTGGAAGGGGGTGCACTGAAGGGTATGGCACTGAGGAGGGTGGCACAGAAGGGGGGTGCACAGAGTGGGGGATGCACCTGGGGGATCCATGGGGGGTGCACCTGGGGGAGTGCACAGAGGGGGTTGCACCTTCAGGGGCTGGCATCAAGAGGGAGGTTTGCTGAGGGGGATTCCCCAAGGGGGATTGGCAGTGCAGGAGGAGGGAACAGGGAAAGCCACAGTGGGAGAAATGAGACAGCCTGAGGAGCAAGAGGTGGGGCCAGGGGCCAGGGTGCAGGGATGGAGAGCATCCTACCCACGTCATGGGGCTCCTGGCCCTGGTCTGAGACTGGGACTTTTCCCCTCTGCACAAGTTAGGTGGGAACAAGGACCCCGTGTTGCCAGGTCTTCCAGTTCTTCAGAGAAGCAGGACCCCCCCACCCTTGTGCTCAGAGGCCCTTTCTCACCCCCCATCTCAGTGCTTTCCAAAGTGGGACTGGCTGAGGTGTGGCCAGATTAAAGAGGTTTGGCCTGGTGGCTCCAGGATCCTCCCCACAGTAACTGAACAGTCTTGGGCTGTCACACATGGCAGTGCCCAGTGCCTGGCACTGTGCCTGTGTGGGGTAGGGCTGGGCACAGCAAAGTGTGGATCGAGGTGTTTCCCTGTGGCTCTCCTGGGCCAGGTGTGTCCCCACATTCTGCAGGGAGAAAGGGAATCACCTGCCTCAGCTCCCCAGCGCCAACTGCACCCAGGTCCTGTGGTAGGTTACAGGGGCTCTGCTTTGTTCCCCGGCCACACAACCAGAGCACCCCCATCATACCCACTGTGACAGGTGCCAACCTTGGAAGCCAGGAGGAAAGAGATTCACCCTGACCCCGGGGGTCCCTGTGTGGGTCCCGTTCCCAGCCTGCTGGCCACGCAGCAATTTTTACCCATCTGTGGGCCTCAGCTTCCTCACCCTCCCAACCGAGACCTGGAAGCAGAAACGGTAACGGGCTTTAGAAGCCTTCTCAGACACTCCCTCCTTTCCATTGCCTTCCTGAGTTCAGAGCCAGGGGCTGGCTCCAGCACCAACCTGGGGACTTCTGGGAAGACTGGGCTTGGGATTGGGAGATGCAGCAGCAGGCTTGCCTGAAGCAGCTGCCAGGGAGTGTTTGCTGCATGACTGAAAAAGCCCCTGACCCAGGCTGGCATCTTGCTGGGTCCGGGTGGCCTGGGAAGCACCACTGGGAGTGCAGGAGGCATCCTGTCTTCTGGGTGTGAGTGCAGGACAGACCCAGGACATCCTTCCCTGAGTCTGCCCTGTCCACACAGGTTGCAGGGCGGCACAGGGTGGGCAGCAGGGCTGGCAGGGGTGCCCGGGTCCCTCTGATGGCATGCTCTTCCTCTGCGCAGAGTTCATCCCGAAGACACCGAGCACTCCGCGGCCTACAGTGCGGGCGCCCACTCAGGCGCCCCGCCGCAGGCGCCCCACAGCTACTGCGCCCCCGCCTACCCTGCGGCCTCCAAGGCCAGCACGGCCTACCCGGCAACCAGGGGGCCGGAGGGGTGGCGGGCGGCGGCGGGGACGGCTGAACACGGAGAGCCAGGCGTTCCGGGATGGCGAGGTGCGCCTGGTGAGGCGCGCGGGCCTGCGCTCCGGCAGCGGGCGCGTGGAAGTGTTCGTGGGCGGACGCTGGGGCACTGTGTGTGACGACTCCTGGGACATCAATGGCGCTGCCGTCGTGTGTCACCAGCTGGGGTTTCCCTACGCCGTGCGCGCTGTCAAGAGAGCCGAGTTCGGCCAGGGTGGCTCGCTGCCCATTCTGCTGGACAATGTGCGCTGCAAGGGCTGGGAGCGCAACCTGCTGGAGTGCCAGCACAGCGGCGTGGGCACGCACGACTGCGAGCACGAGGAGGACGCGGGTGTCGTGTGCAGCCACCAGAACCCCGACCTGTAGGCAGCACGCCGCTGCCCCCAGGCCATCCCGCCGGCTGAGGAGCCTGGCAGGGGCCGCTCCCGGCTGTGTGCACCCGACACGTGCACACACATTCTAGGGTGAAGGGGGTGGAGGTGTGTGCTGTCCTGGGACATGCGTGAGGCGCCGCAGTGCACGCGTGCCCTCTGCAGGCCCAAACAGGAGTGTGTGCTGGGGAGGGTGTGGACTCTGGGTGTGCATGGTCCGTCACAGCCTGAGGAGTTCCTTTCTTACCTCCAAGCATTCCAGACATCAGCTGTGGGACCCTGAGGACTGAGGGCAGCCAGGCTTCAAGGATGGACATGGCCCCTGGCTATGCTAATAGAGGCACAGTGGTCAGACTGAGGGCCTGGGGGGAACCAGGCTTGTCCTGCCCACAGCTGGAGTGGAAGGTGCCAGAACAGCTGGAGGGTGGTTCAGAGAGCATGGCCTGCTGGCCCCACAGTCAGGCACGGGAGAGAACCAGAAGGCATCCAGTGGGAAAGGGAAAGCCTTCTGGCTGGTGGGTGCAGGGTGAGCTGCAGGCCTGGGGCCCCACCGGAGGGGCAGGCTGCGTGTCGGAGCCAGCACCTGCTCAGGGAGGCTGGCTGTGGGAACTGGATGATCTTCAAGGCCACGTGCTGGAGAAGCCTCTCAGCAGCATACCCAGCCCTTGTGGGTGCTCCTGGGATGACGCCAGCCTCCTCCAGTCCGGAGGCCTGACTCTTTCCTGCTCTTGGGGCAGAGCCCCCCACACTACCTGGGCAGAGCTTTCACCCTGGCCCTCCAGTGAGTGGGTGGGCCTCCACTACCTTCAAAGTGGTGTTTGGGCACTGGGGCCACCTCTGTCTTTCTCATCCTCACCCCTGCTCAGTGTAAACCCAGGGGACCTTGTGATTCCTCTAGCCCCACCTCGGGGCTGACCAGGCTGGGGGGCCAGTGAGACTACTGACAGTTTTCACCCAGGGCTATGCCAACGATATGGCTGTTTCCACACTGCTCTCCAGCCTCCTCTCTGACCTGAGCCTGCGTGGGAGCTGGGGTGGGAATCAGGAGAAAGGGGTGGGGTCTGCAGCTTCCCACCTGCATTACAAGTAGAAACTCCTTTGCTCCAGGGATGCTCAGCCCTGGCTCTGTGCCAGGCCACCAAGGGGCGCTAAGTCTGACTGCACTTAGCCTCGGATGGGAGCACGGGTGGGGATGGGTAAGCAGATTAGTCATCAGGGAGTGAGGACAGGATGTGGCCCATGTCGGGGGTTGGAAGAGGTCTGCATTGGGCACCCAAACCCAACCTATCTGTGGGGGCTTTGGGGAGGGGATGACACTGTGCCAAGTTCTGGGAGCTGGCAGCAGGGGTGGCCGGGCAGGCACATGGGGTAGGCGTGAGTCTGGCAGGGTCTCCTAGCTGTTAGTAAGTATCCTGGGCTGCAGAAGAAAGCTTTAGGGTTACTGTCCTGGACTCCTCATTTTCTGTGCTAGGTGGGGTTGTTGGGGCCCTGGGTGCCTGGGGCTTGTCTGGCCCTGTTGTGCCCCTCTTGGGAATCATGATCAGCCCTGAAGCCAGTGTGGTCTGTGCACCGAGTGGTGCAGCACGTGTCAACGCTTTCAAGCCTCAGAGCAGCCTCCTTCTCCCCGCTACAGAAGGGGAAACTGAGGCACGCAGCAGTTAGATATCTTAGTTGAGGGCACCAAGCCAGGGAGGAAGAAGCCAAATTTGAATACAGCAGCTTAGTCTAGAGCCCCCACACCCTAACAACTGCCCTCCCCAGCTCCACTTTGCCTCAGAAAGGGGTATGCTGGGGCTCCTGCCTGGTGTAGGGGTGCCAGCCTGGCAGCTGATGGAGATACTTGGGGCCCAGCAAGTGACCTTACTACTGGCCTCCTGCTCCTCTCCGGCCTCCAGCGGCACAGGGGTAGTTGAGTGAATGTCTTCCCAGTGCACAGGGGAGTTCTAAACCCTGATGCAGGGAGTGTTAGGAGCTAGCGGGGCCTTAGTGACCATCCCAGCCAAATTCCTCACTGTGCAGATGGGGAGCCTTGCTCAGGGAGGCTGAGTGTCCTGGGCCTCTTGCCAGATGAGGCCACACTGAGACTGGAGGCCAGGGAAGGTGCAGCAAACCTTAAGGCCCTCAGACAATGGCTGATCCAGGGCCCTGCATGACTGGCCCCAGCAGCTGTTTTACTCAGACATGGATCAGGAGGGTTGGCAGAGGGCTCTCTGGGTATGGCCTCAGGCCTCCAATACTTCTCTGGGGAGTTCAGGCTTCAGCTCGTGAGTCCTCCAGGCCAGGCACTCTCCTTCCCCAGCCTCTAACCTGTCGCCTCTCAGGCCCCAAACTAGGCCTGGGCTAGGCTGCCCTGACTCCTGGGGCTGACTCCAAGGTCCCGAGGTCAGTGATCCCCAACCTTTTTGGCATCAGGAACTGGTTTTGTGGTAGACAATTTTCCACAGACAGGGTTTGGGGTGTGGTTTCAGGATGAAACGTCCTACCTCAGATCATCGGGCGTGAGGTTTTCATAAGGATTTCCCAACCTAGATCCCTCGCAGGCACAGTTCACAGTGGGGTTCATGTTCCTGTGAGGATCTAATGCCACTGCTGATCTGACAGAGGCAGAACTCAGGCAGGTACGCTTGCTCCCCACACCACCCTCCCCCACTGCCACTCACCTCCTGCTGTGTGGCCTGGTTCCCAACCGGCCACCCATTGGTATTTGTCCATGACCCAGGGTTTGGGAACCCCTGCCCTAGGTAGTAATAAGAGTGGATAGCTGACCTCTGCTGACACTACATGCCAAGCACTGGTCTGAAAGTTTAATATACCATTCACTCATGTAATCCTCATATTAACACACACTTACTCAGGTGGAAGCCGAGTCCCTTACCAAATGTCACACAGCCAAAATTTGAATTTGAACCCAGGCAGTCCAGCTCTGGGACCCCACTGTAGGCCTTCTTGCTGGACCACCTCAAGGATATGGAAAGCCATCCCCACCCCACTGGGACACAAGTTCAGGGAGGGCAGAACTGGCTCCCTGTCCAGTGCTTCTTTCACTCCATGTTGGAAACAGTTGCTCAGTGCTGCAAAGAAAAATCAGCACTGAGGCAAAGGATCTCTCAGCAAAGCAATTTTTACTTCCTGCAGGAAGGGTACCCTCGCTAGCCATCTTGCCACAAGAGTACAACAAACAAAGGAAAAGCAGACATATTTATCCCTTACCCATTTTGAGTTGTCCTTACTCCTGTGTCTGATCTCTATTGGTTGGAGCCAGACCTCACAATCTAAACTAAAACCCGATTGGCTAATAACTTAAAACTTTTTTAAACAGGCAAAAGCAATGGAAAACAAAAAGAAGTTCAAATAAGGAATAGGCATAGGCTGCTAGCTGGGACATGCCTGTGAGCACATATCTTGGTTAAACTTTAACAGATATCTTGGTTAAAGTACAAGGATATAGAATATACTATGTGCATGGCATGTCTATCAGCTACATAGGATAGGGCTTAACAAAGAGTTATTAGCAAGAAACAAGAGGGATTTATTCTTTAACAAAAAAGGAAACTCTGAAGAGGAACTTTTCTACTTCCTACACTCTACCACCTACAGCTGGTCCCTGAGGGAGCATTCACAAGTGATTCTGTCCCCAGGGACTCCAATCTTGCCTTAAAGTCCTCCAGGGCCTCTGGCAATGGGGGCTGGTCTGGGCACAGCCATCACCCTCACCCCCTCTAATCCAGCCTGCAGTTAATAGCCAGGATCAAATTCCCAGAGAGGGGCTGCCCTGCCCAGTGCCACACAGCTTAGCTCCAGAGTCTCAGGGTCAATGCTACAGGGGTGACCCAGGGTCCAGGACAGTGTTCAAGGCATCAGCCAGAAGTCACAACACCCCAGGCCCTAGACTGAGCCTAGGGGTCTCTGTGTTTATAACTTGGAAATGTTTGGGAGGTTCATGGAAGTGGAAACTGGGTTCCAGTCCTGGCTCTGTGCCTCTCTGAGTCTCATTGCAAAACAGAGGTCACCAGAAGGATTATTGGATGAAAAATGAGGTCACGTTGCAGATGTGCCTGGCATGTACACTCCAGGTTGCTTCCTGGACAGAAAGCTCAATCCGAGGCTGGTGGCATCCATGCTGGCAGCTGCGAACTGTCCACAACAGAGTGAGGAGGGGCATGCCACATGGAAGACCAGCATCAGAATGACATGGGAGGAAACCCTCACGATAGCAAGAAAAATACCTCCCTTAGTCTAATATGTAGAACCCAAGTCTTCTTATGGGGGCATCTGTTCCCTCACCCCTCCTCCCCTGCTGAGAACTAGCTTTTAATGAACGCTTATTACACACCAGCTACCTCAGCTGTGTTAGCTCATTTCATCTTGACAACAGCTCCATGAGACACCCTCCATATCACTGTCCCTCTTTTCTAGACCAGGACAGATTCCTAGAGTTTTATGTAAGTGGTCCCCAGGGCTTTAGAGGCAAGTTTGCACTAAGGCCCATTCTCCCAGAGCCTGATCCTTCTCCCTCCCTGGACGACTGCACCTCCACCCTGCCAGGCCACCCATGTAAAGGCAGCCAATTCAGAGCCACCTCTTATGCCTGCATATCCCCCAACAACTCCTGCTGGGAAACCACTTCCTGTATAGTGTCATCCACACTGGTGATTTTCAAGCCTGAGAAGAATCAAGTTCTATAGGGCTGCTTAAAACACAGGTTGTTAGATCCTGTCTCTCAGAGTTCTTGACTCTGTCTTGGTCGGGAATCTGCAGCTCTAGAAGCTCCTGGGTAGTGCTAATGCTGCTGTTCTAGGGACCACAGTCACTGTCCATACTGGTGCTATCCAGTAGAAAGATAACGTGAGCCAAAGAGGTAACTTAAAATCTGCTATTAGCCATGTTAAAAAGTAAAATGAAACAGGTAAAATTAATTTTAATATTTTATGTAACCCAACATATTCAAAATATTATCATTTTAACAAGCAACCCATATATGGATATCAATGACTTTTTCTGAGACAGGGTCTGGCTCTGTCACCCATGCTGGAGTGCAGTGCTGCTGTCACTGCTAACTGCAGCCTCAGTCTCCCAGGCTCAGGTGATCCCTCCATCTTAGCCTCCCGAGTAGCTGGGACCACAGGCATGTGCCTCCACGCCCAGCCAGCAGGGTCTCCCTATGCTGCCCAGGCTGGTCTTGAACTCATGTTCTCAGGAGATCCTATTGCCTTTGCCTCCCAAAGTGCTGAGATTACAGGTGTGAGCCACTGTGCCTGGTGACCTCATTTCCCCACTCTTATTTTGTATTAATTTGTAGAATCTAGTGTGTATCTTACACATAGCACATCTCAGTTGGACTAGCCACATGTGGCCAATGGCTGCCATATTGGATAGCTTACTCCAGACCCTCCAGTGAAGGAGCAAGTCGTTGGCCACATGCTTCCAGGCAGCACCCTCTGCTGGTGTCTGGCAGGGCTGCCCACCCGGGATAAGGGCCTTCAGCCCTGGGACCTGGAGCCTTGGTGTGCACCTGTGTTCCCTTGCCCGATCACAGGATAGCTGGAAGCATCAAATGAGAGGTGATAGGATAGCTGTGGGCTTGGTGCCTAGGGAGAGGGGAGACTGTTGGCTCACAACAGATGGGGACAGGGACTGCTCTGGAAGTGCTGCCCCTGGGGTAAGCCATGGTCATGCTGAGCTGATGTGAAAGAGAACATGTATACCCCTTTCCTTAGCCATATTTGGAGAGGTTCATGCTGAGCACTGCTCCCTGATGCTGCTCTACACCTACTTCCTATGGGGCTCTAGGCTGGGCCTGGAGCTGTTGAGGACCTGGCTCTTCCCTCAAGGAACTGTTGTAGTAGGTAGTCAGGCAGACATGAACAGGGCAGGACTGCCAGCCAGGAATGTCAGGCAGCCATCAGATGATGGTCAGGCAGTTGATAAACTGCTTCTCTAAAATAATTGGCCGCTGCCAGTGTCAGGGAGAGGCAATCTCCCAATAGATAGAAGCATCTGAAGCTGGTGATCAACTTCCCGGTAAGATCTCCGGAGCTGGGCGAGTGGGCTCAAGCATGCGCACTAACAGTGTTGGAAACAGATGCTGGGTGCCGCAAAGAAAATCAGCACTGAGACAAAGGATCTTTTAGCAACTCAATTTTTACTTCCTGGACCGCAGGAAGGGTACTCTCACTAGCCATCTTGCCAGGAGAGTACAGTGAACAAAGGAAAACACACATTTATCCCTTACGCATTTGGGGTTGTCCTTACTACTCTGTCTGATCTCCGTTGGCTGGAGCCAGACCTCACAATCTAAACTAAAACCCGATTGGCTAACACCTTAAAACTTTTCTAAACACGTAAAAGCAATGGAGAGCTGGGACATGTCTGTGAGCAGGTCCAGCACAGATATCTTGGTTAAAGTATAAGGACACAGAATGTACTACGTGCCTGTAAGCATGGCATGTTTAACAGCTGCATAGGATACGGCTTAACAAAGTTATGAGCACACTTATTCTTTAACAAGAAAGGAAACTTTAAAAAGGAACTTCCCACAATGAGGCAAAATGGCAGCGATTAAAACTGGTAGATGAGCTTCCTCTAGGAACACTGGTAAGGGAAAAACACCTCAAATGAGCACGCACCTAACTTCAGTAAACACACTATGTATTCGACTCCTCCCAGGTGCTGAGAGGCCACTGCGCAAACAGACAGCCCACCCCAAGGGAGGAATCAGGGGAGAAGAGAGATGCAGTCCCCCGGAAGCATGCCTATTTGAAGTCAAAGGTCAAGCCACGCACTTGACTCTCTCAAGTCACCTGCTTGGCCCTCTTCTAAGTGTACTTTACTTCCTTTCATTCTTGCTCGAAAACTTTTAAATAAATGTTCATTCCTGCTCTAAAACTGGCCTCTGCTTTATGGCCCTCAGCCGAATTATTTCTTCTGGGGAGGTAAGAACTGAGGTTGCTGCAGACCCCTATGGATCTGCTGCTGCTAACAGAACCCTTGTTCCAGAGGGCCAGAGAGACAAGGCAAGAGAAAGCCCTCTCCAGACCGTGCATGCATTTTGTAATCTCAGGGAGCTGTTCCACAAACTGGATACTAAATGTGGTGCTGTCACATTTCTAGCTAAGCACCCCAACCCACCTTCCAGCTCGCAGGAACCCACACCCTCCTTCTCGCAGCCTCATCCTCCCTCCAAATTGCTCCAAAGCCCTGGAGCTTTCACAGCCCACAGGGGACCTGGAGGCCCCCTGCCACACCTCACCCCAGCAGGGCCAGCCTGAGTTCCCCTGTGCGCCTGCAGCTGCTTGTCACTGCCACACGGGGGCCCGGTGGCAAGCCAACGTCCCCTAGTCCAACAGGGAGGCAGGGCCAGGCACCGAGGGGGATGGAGGTCCTGCTGCCCACCTGTCCAGGCTGCGGTGGCCCCAGGGCCAGAAATCCTGCCTCCTCAGTGCTGGGCATGGCTCTTAAGGCTTGGCGCTCTCCGCCGCCCCTCAGCCCACACACTCCTAACAGCGGTGTCCCATGTCCCTGGCAATACCTGGGAGAGGCGGTGCAAAGGTTCTCTTCGTTTTCCAACCTCTCCAGGACTGGCTCAAACGTGGGACAGGGGCACTGCCTCTTCTCAGAAACCCGGCAGCATCTAAACTCCCTGGGCTCCTCCCTCCAGCCCAGGGGACCTTCACCTGGGCTAGGAGTGGGCACACCTGGCCGTCCCCAGCCAAGGCTTTCACGCTGGGTGGCCCCTGGGGATAGGAATTGGGAACCAAAACGCCCAGAGTTGGCCTCATCTTCATACGGGATGGGCAAGGAGATGCGGGTTACAACAGAGGGGGAAGCCCTGGTCATTATTTCGAAAATACCTTCTCCTCCGCTACCGCCGCCTCCCCGGCACATTTCCCTCTTTCCCTGGAGGGCGGACCCGGATTTTCATCCTCCAATTCCAACTCCTTCGGACCTGGGCCAGCGCCTCACATGGGGCTTCGCCTGGTCTGGGTGGGTCCGCAGGCGCCCGAGCCTCTGGGAGAGCAGCCTCTGGCCCCGCCGTGTGCTCTCGGTCGCAGACACAGGCATCCCTGAGTCCAGCGGGTCCTGTCACCAGCCCGTGGGCCCCACCGACGGACCGCAGGCGCTACGCGCAGACCTTCCGGACGCAGGAGGCGCCCAGGGACATCTGGAGAACAACTTTCGGGGGCAGGGGTTCCCGGGAGAAGTTTGGGAACAGTAGCCGTCATGCGGACTTTTGCAGGCTGGAATGGGGTTTCCGGGCAGGTTTTAGGGAGAAAGGAAGGGGCCTAGGACAGCGCGCGGAGAGATGCCGTTATTTCGAGGCGCCAGAGCGGGCGGAGCCAGCCAGCAGGACTTCGCGCCGCCGCCGGGCCATGCGCGGAGGATCGGCGTTGCCAGGGACAACGCGTTATGGGCGGAGCTGCTGCTGGGGCGGGCCTGAGTCTGAGGAGGTGGGGGCGGAGCCTGGGGGGCTGAGCCAGAAGCGGAATTGTGATTGGTGGAGACTACATGCTCGGGGCGGGGCCCGGGCTGGGGCGGTGTGGAGGTTGGGGGCGGAGCTTTGGGGGGCGGGGCGGGGAGGAGGAGGGCCTTGAGCTCCGGAGCCGGAGGCGGAGACGTGGTTGGCCGGGACGGTGCGCCCTGGGAGGGGTCGGAGCCGGCGGGGGCGGAGCCGAGCGGGCGGGGACGGTGCTGGGTCGCGCCTGGCCTGGGGCCGAGGCGGCGCGCGGCGCTGACAGCTGAGTCGGCTCGCGGCCTCCCGGCCCCCTCGGCGCCCGGCCCGACCCCGGCCTGGCCTGCCCCGGAGCCATGAGCCCCGGGCTGCTGCTGCTCGCCAGCGCCGTCCTGCTTGCCTTCGGCCTCTGCTGCACCTTCGTGCACCGCGCTCGCAGCCGCTACGAGCACATCCCCGGGCCGCCGCGGCCCAGGTGAGCGGGGCTGGGGGCGGGGCCTGGCTGGGGCGCTGGAACTGGGGGCCGGGGGACCGCGTCTAAGCCGGCGTCCAGGCCGGGGGTCCGGCCTCGCCTAGTGCGCGCGGCCGCTGGGAGACTGCGGCCCGGAGAGGGGCGCTAACTATTCTTAGTAACAAATTACTCACAGCCGCAGCAGCTGCTGGGCGCCCACCGCGCACAGTTGGGCCCCACGAACGCGATGGCAGCGACAGCCCTGTCAGGTAGGCGCTATTGTTACCCCATCGTTCAGACGAGGAGACTGAGGCGCGCAGAGGCGAAGTCACCTGCCCAAGGTCACACGGTTGGTAAGCCTAGATTTAAGTCCAGGTTAGCCTGCCTCCAAAGTGGGCGCTGTTAACTTTGGGACTGGGACAGGGTCAGCCTGGATTGGAGCACGCTGTACTTCAGTCATATTTCCTTTTGTTTGTATTTCTGTTCTGGGACACCCCATTTGTCTTCTCCTTAGTACTTACAATTCCATTCTTGGTCCCCGCCCCCACCCAACTCACACCCCCCCCCCAACTTGCCATCCGCCCCCCACCCCAAGCTTAGCTTTGTGAAGCTTAAATTAAATGTGTCATTTCTCTGCTCCAAGGGCTTCCCATCACTTGACAACTAAATTCACTTCTAAATTAAGTCGGCTGCATGGCCCGTGAGGCCCCTGCCGAGCTCTAAGAACCCACTCTGCACCCTGCTCTTCCCTCTTGCTTACTCACTGCTGCCCCCAGTCTTTCTCCTCCCTACCCCTCCCCACCTTGCAGCTTCCAACCGCTGCAGCTTTCCTTCCCCCCCACCCCCGCAGCTTCCCGCCCCCAGGGTCCTTTGCTCAAGCCTGGGCCTGGCGGGCTTCTTCCTCTGTTCATCTCAAGCAGGCCTCCCCAAGCACCCTGTGTAAAGATCACCCAGCCCCAGACTTCTCAGGGGCCATCACCTCTGAAGTTACCTTCTTTCCACCTGTTGACTGTTCACCTGTTGACTGTCTGTCTCCCCCTCTAGAATGTGAGCCCCGGGAGGACAGGGACAATCTGTTCATTTGTGTATCCCCAGTGCCTGGCGTGTTACAGATGCTCAATAAATATTTGTTGAATGAATGACTAAACAATGGTATTAGACACACTTTTTAAAATCACAGGACATGAACATTCTGGAAGGCACCCATCTCTAGCACAAGCCAGATGTACTGGTGTTAGAAGCCTGAATCTCTGCTTGATGGGTTCAGGAAAGATCTCTGTGGCTGGTGACCGAGGGAGGCCACTGTTCTCCCTGCTAGCTCTCTGCCCTCCTGGTGCTCTCTTCTTACTTAGCTCCTCAGTCTTCCACTTTACCTGGATGGTTCCTCTGGCCTTCCAGGCTTGGCTTCAATGCTAACTCCTCAGGGAGCTTCCACCTGCTCCCCCGAACATATTATGTTCATTTTAGAAACCCTGAAGTCACTGTAATTTTCCTTCACTGCATAATGTTAATTGGGGAATTATTTGTGCAAGCTCTTGTTAAGTGTCTGTCTTTCCCAGGGGCCCCTGTCTGTCTCAGTCACTGCTGCGTCCCTGACGTGTAGCACAGCAGCACATGCATAGTGGAAACACGATCAATAGCGATTCAAGGTTGAATGGTGGACATCTCCCATAAGTTCTTTAGGTATACCATCACCCTCTCAAGTTTTCAAATCAACTGTCAGCGCTTAGAATTGAATGAGTTTGGTGCTTGTTCTGATAAGTTTCATCGTCACTTGATTTTCTCGTAAACTCAAATGACCTGTTCTGGTCTCTCTGTCTTGAGAAGGCAGAACTTAAATCATCTTTAAAAAACTGCAACGTAACTTGCATTCCATAAAATTTATTCTTAAGTGTACAATTCAGTGGTTTTTAGTATATTCACAGCACTGTGCAGACATCGCCACCAAATTTCAGAACTGTTTTGTCACCCCAGAAAGAAAGCCCATACCTGTTAGCCATCACTCCTCCTTTTCCCCCACCCCTCACAGCCCTGGCAACCATGAATCTGCTTTCTGTCTCTATGGATTTGCCTATTCTGGACGTTTCATATAAATGGAATCACAATATGTGGCCTTTTGTGTCTGGCTTCTTTCATTTTAGTTTAATGTTTCAAAAGTTCATCCATGTGGTAGCATGTGTCCTTATTTCTTTCCTTTTAATGGCTAAATTCTTCCCAAATCTTATCTCACAGAGTCTACATGTGCCCTGAGTGTGTGGGGCGGGGAGGGAGGAGTGGGAGGAGGATGAATATAATCATGGTTTGGCTCTTTATTCTAAGGAGGTGAACTGAACAGTGCATATATAAAAAGAGTTTGGATTAAAAATTTGTTAGTGGTCAAATATAAAACTGCACTAAATGAAAGTTCTGGAACCTCTCCGAGCAGAAACCTGATGCTTTGGTATTAAAAGTCTGAATCTTTAAACTATGAGTGGCGACACTGTGGGTGATGAGAGATCCATATAGAGTCTCCGGTAGTGACATTTGCCCCCGGGGGCCCCAGGGCCTTGCCAGCTGGCGGGCAAGGAACCCTCTCACTGTAAGAGGCAACTCTTCATGCTCCTTGCTCTGCAGGAGGCCCTCCCTGAGTGCCCCTCCTCTGTGCTTTTCTTACAACATCCTACTGCACTGATCCGTGTAACAGCTGAACACTCAGACCCCCACACTCTGATCCCACACAGACACTTGTAGCTTCTTCATTTCCCTGTCACTGTTCTAACTGTCCTCATCAGCCCCTACTCTCCTGGTAGTGTGGGAGTGGATGTAAACTTGACAATGAAAGGCCTCTCTCTCTCTCCAAATTTTTATTTATTTGGGGATAAACTGACTCCTGGATGGTGCCGGCTCCACTCCAACTTACCCGGTTGCTGGGATGGGGCTGTTCAGCAAGGAGCAGGACGGCAGCCCTGGGGGAGCCCACAGCTAGCGCTGGCAGGGCGTCTGGTG